GGACAGCTAACTAGACCTCTGAAAATACTTATTAAGGTTGTTTTATTCTTTCTGAAAAGCTATCGTTTTATATTTCTAAATGTATTCAGTTAGAAAAAATGCAACAAAACAACGTGCTGCAACTAAAACATGATACCTGAGCACTTCTAAATCACACGTTATTTTCTATGCACTTCAGAATAGGTAGTGTGAGATGATAGGCAAAATGACAGAGAATAGTAGTCTGACATAAGTAAAAATTATCATAAGTTAAAAATATGTATTGTGAAACCAGTTGTTTAGGCTAAATATAAACTTTTAATTGTCTGTAATACTAGACTGGATTTCTCAAAATGAAATTACCGGGAACAAACACACACAACTTGTTCCATTTATATACCTATTTCAGAGTTTTCGAGTTTATTACAAACTCCAAAACAGGGTGAAGGAAGTATAATATTTTCTGCACCCCATCCCCCCTTCCTAACATAAATACCATCATTTACATAAGCTACGACAAACTACTCCAAATGTTGACTTGGTAAACAGTAGGAACGATGTGCCACCTGTCTCGTAACATCACTATTACTACTAATAATGAGGCACATGGATATGATGTATGAATGTAGATTAATTCAAACACAGACACTTGGTAGTTTCATTATAATTACTAGATGAGCTATCTAATGTGTTTTTTGTTTACTTTATTAATTGATAGTTTTAAAACATTTATCTGCCTGGTGGTTAGGGCATTCGACTCGCAGGTCGCGGGTTCAAGTCCCTGTCGTCGAACATACTCATCCTGTCAGCCATGGGGGGTGTTATAATGTGACGGTTAATCCTACTACTCGTTGGTAAAATAGTAATCCAATAGCTGCATTTATTATAGCCTATCACTTCTAAATTAGGGACGGCTAGCGCAGATAACCCTCGAGTAGCTTTGTGTAACATTCACACCAATCAAAAAGCATTTATATTAAGTTTATTTAGTGCTGGTTTTAGTGTGGGAATTTCCTGCTTAGTTATTCAGTTAAGATCGGATAGGAACAAGGACTTTCAAGAAGTTTATGTTCGTCAATTTAATTGAAATATTTCAGAAGAAACGAAAAATTTATAATTATTGCGTAAAAAATCCTGGAGTTATAAAATCCATAACGTGACACAAAACCGTTGTGGGCATTAATGGAAGAATTATAAGCATCTTAGACACACGTTCTATTTCTACCTCGTTGGTTCATTTAAGACAATTTTTTATACTATTAATATATCTAATATCTTTCATATTGGATTTGTCTTTGGTTGTTGCAACCAATCAGAGACTAGAGTCAATTTCTCTTTTTTATTTCTATAGTTGTTTCATCTCTGTTATCCTGTTCATCAATATGCCGAACAAGACTTTTGGTTGTTGGTTGATTAACTCCAATTCTTCGAGTTGGTTTAATGAAAAACTCTAACAAATAAACCTTATGCCCACATTAGTTTTAGAACAAAAAATTTAATTTGCAGACTACCCGTCTGTTATGTTCAAAACTTTGCAAAATTTAAATATATTTTCTACAAGTAACAACTGATTGTAAATGTATACATAAAGTAAGATGCAACATAAAGAAAGATTATTAAAATTTGCAACTAAAGATGGGTGGAGGTTTTGTTTTTAAACAAAACGAAATGCCTTGACAGCTCACGAAGCTGGTAAAATATTTAATCAACTCTCGAGGATAAGGTCCTTTGTTAGAGCTTTGAAAAGGTATACACTCGTGATTAGTAGAGAGCACTTTCTGGACTCGGTTACTTTCAATACGCATGATTTAATCTTAACCCTTAGAAGAAAAATGTTATTGAATAAATGTTATTTGAGATACTTAAAACAATTTTTATAACAACATAACTTGACAAAAATTTCAAATGAATGGCTTCGCTTCATCTTTTAAAAACCCTGGGTTATTATATATTACAAAATTATAAGGTGCCAAACAAATAAAACAGACAGTAGTTTATTTGGTTGAAGAGAAATGAATTAATTGTAAGTTGTCGAATTTGTTTCAAATTACATAGTGAGAGCTGGATTTATTCACACACCAGATGGCGTCCTCTTCAGGGTATAAATAATTTCGTCTCCTCCAATCAGAACGATGCGACTATTCAGCTGGAGTTCTTTGCTGTCAGTTGAGAGTAAGTGTTCAGGAGACGTCACGTGAGAAACAAAAGATATCTTGTACCTGGTTTACTGGCATCCTTGGACAGCTAGTAAAGATAACGAAGCAAGTTCGTTAATGAATTCTCTGCCGAAAGAGAAGTTTAAACTAGCAAATAACGCCCACTCTACCAACAACCATGCCTTACCTCTACATAGAAACAGCAAAGGAAAAGTTATGTCAAGGAGCAAAGTAAGTTGTTTACTAATTTTTTACCGTAACGTGAAATAAAGCAATGCTAAATGATGCTTAGCGTGTGATAAACATGCGGGTTTAAAACTGTCAACATTCCATGTTTCACAGTTCGATTATAAGAGTTTTAACAAACTTGAAGGATTTTCTATTTTTTCTTGTAGATTGTTTTATGAAACCCGATGACTTATACCAAACATGTCTTGTTATAAACGAAAGATTTTTATTGTTTAAAACTGTTAGGGTTTAATCACAAACAGGACATTGAAGATATCCTGTTTGTGCTATCTAGAACGCAGGACATGTGTGGTTCGTAGAAAAACTAGGGGTGCTATCAAGAACATTGGACACAGGTGGGTTGTAAAAAAAACGAACTAAGATTCTATTAAGAACGTTGTACTCAGGCCGGTTATTTGAAGGAGTTGCATTTATTAAGAATCAAATTTAATTTTTTCCAGTTAATTTATGTCTGTAAAGATAACTAATACCTCTTTCCCTACGGCCTTATATAAATTTTATCCCATATTTAAACGTTAAAAATAAGAACATTTGTGGAAGGTAACTAATTAAAAGAAATAGTTTGTTTCAAAAACCCGCGCAAAGATACGCAAGAGCTATCTGCTCGTAACTATCAGTTATCTATCTAGAGCAATCTGCTCATAACTATCAGTTATCTATCTAGAGCAATCTGCTCGTAACTATCAGTTATCTATCTAGAGCAATCTGCTCGTAACTATCAGTTATCTATCTAGAGCTATCTGCTCGTAACTATCAGTTATCTATCTAGAGCTATCTGCTCGTAACTATCAGTTATCTGTCTAGAGCTATCTGCTCGTAACTATCAGTTATCTATCTAGAGCTATCTGCTCGTAACTATCAGTTATCTATCTAGAGCTATCTGCTTGTAACTATCAGTTATCTGTCTAGAGCTATCTGCTCGTAACTATCAGTTATTTTGAACTGAGAGAAGGCAACTAATCGACACCAGCCGCTAACTCTTGGACTACTCCAATCGAATAGTGGTATTTGATCGTCACCCTTATAACACACACGGCCCAAAGTGCGGAACGTGATTTTATGGCAACGAGACGTGAACAGAAAACCTTCAGACTTACAGTCAGTCTCACTAACCACTTGCCTATGCCCGACCTTGAAAATAATAAATAAAATTGATGAACTCAAACAGAAAAATTATGAATTAAATTCTGACAAGTTGTCTCATGAATGCGTAGTTGCATTGTGTTTTACTTCTTCAGGGCTGAGTTTGAGGTACAAAGAAATTAGATTTCTTAGCATTAATCCTTTATCACATAAGTTAAAATAAAATGATATTTACTTTTGTAGAAAGTAATGAAGTCGTGGAAGTTAATATTAGTCGATTGTACCTTATTGTTAGCTTTTTTAGCATTACTTTAAAGCATGATGTACAGGGGCAAGTATTAGTTGTACCAGCATTATCTGGCATACACATAAAATGAAAGTATCATCAACAATTGTTTTTGTGAACCTTTGAGAGATTCTGGCTTTTCGCCTCAAGACGGTGTTTTTAATTATTATTAGAATTTTGATCCATGACATTGTTTTATCTTAGGATTAAGTTTTAATGGTTTTTCCTCATTGTTAAAAACAATGCATCATTCTTCGCCCTCTACTTATAGCGTTCTTGACATTCCTGAAGTGGTATTTGTTTATTTACTGCAAATGTCAAGAATTGTAAATAACACACGATCCCTTGTTGAGTGAACTTTATCATTAGGAAATCTTCTGTTTGTTTTTGTCAAGAAAAACTCCACGAATTCTCTCCCATATCGACTAGAGATGAACAAAAGAAGATAATAAAATACTAAATATTCTTCTATCCTACGTGTTGGAGAATATACATAACGATTTTCAAAGACAAAGCTAACTTTCACATGGGGTTTTATTGCTCTATTCAGTGGGATAGGCTTAAACATAGCATTTGTTTACTTTAGGCAGAAAAGGAAGAGTCGTTTAAATGAATATGGGCTCCAGATAACGATTTCAGTTTAGGTAGACATTTGTGAACATTCGGGCTACAGGGTAAATATAAAAAATATGGCCTCTTTGTTTTTAAGATTATATAATAAAGTGATAGGCCTAACTCGTTCATGGGATTACTTTTAATAAAGCATGATACAGGTGGAAAATGGAAATATTTTAATCAATATCATTACGTAACAATAGAAAAAAAGACTGTTTCATAAGTTTCTAGAAAACTTTAGATTAGAAGATGTTACCAGTGTATACAATAACTAAAATGGTGTCTTAAGTCCCTTGTTAAGATATGGAACGCCTATAATAGACACACTTAAACTATTTATACTTCATTAACACTTCTTTTTTGTGATGTTATTTGGTTCATTAACACAACACAGGATTGTTTATTATCAACTACGTTAAGTTCTCATTTAGTAAATAACAGCTTTTGGGTTTACATTTATCATAAAGTAAACTTTGGTTTTACATTTGGTATATAGTAAACTTTGGGTTGACATTTGATATATAGTAAACTTGGGGTTTACGTTTAGTAAATAATAGCCTTTGGGTTTACATTTGGTAAATAATAGACTCAATGTTTATCTCTGGTAAATAGTAACCTTCAGATTTATACTTGCATTTAATAAACAGTAATCTTCGGATTTAAGTTTGGTAAATAGTGACCAACGTATTTACATTTAGTAGATAGTTACCTTGAGTTTACACTTGATAAATAATAATCTATGGTCTTGCATTTCGTAAATAATAATCTATGGTCTTACATTTGGTAAATAATAATCTATGGTCTTACATTTGGTAAATAATAATCTATGGTCTTACATTTGGTAAATAATAATCTATGGTCTTACATTTGGTAAATAATAATCTATGGTCTTACATTTGGTAAATAATAATCTATGGTCTTACATTTGGTAAATAATAATCTATGGTCTTACATTTGGTAAATAATAATCTATGGTCTTACATTTGGTAAATGATAATCTATGGTCTTACATTTGGTAAATAATAATCTATGGTCTTACATTTGGTAAATAATAATCTATGGTCTTACATTTGGTAAATAATAATCTATGGTCTTACACTTGATAAATAATAATCTATGGTCTTACATTTGGTAAATAATAGCCTTCGTGTTTGATTGTTAAACCTTTCATGATATTTAATTTTTTCGTCAAGCTCGAAAGTAAAAATCCCATAAGCTGTGGGTTTTCACTGTCACAGCTGTAAAAATGACCTTATGATTAGATTATTCCCCTCAAAATCAGATTCGACGGTTTTAGCGAATGATGAACTCTCGTGAATTGCTTTAGGTCTGATGTACCAGCAGTGTATATATTTATATTCAGATTTGAGAGATTATTTTCTCTATACTCTGAATCTGGTCAAAACATAGCCAAGAGTTATAGTAAAGGATTCCCACTATATGAAAATGTTATATAAAAAAACAAGTTATGTAAAAAGGCAAATCCTGTAAAAATGCAATCTGAAAGTGGGTAAGTTCAACAAGAAAAAAACTGGAGAATACTGTGCCCCGCTTTTATTGCAATTTTAACAAGTAGCAAACATGAATATAAAAAAGGTACGAGGAGGAACTACCAGCACAGTTGCAGCGTCTTATACCACTATGCCATCCCTTCATTGTAAATTTACCATGCGCCCCTAAGTCCTTACGTCATCAGTTTTAACTTATCAGCTACACTGCTACAGTTTTCAAACCTTGATTCAGAGTAATATATATATATATATATATATT